AAACAACATGGATTGAGCTGGAGGGTATTATGCTCAGTGAAATAAGTCAGGCAGAGGAAGACAAATACCAAATAATTTCCCTCATTTGTGAAGTATAACTCGAAGCAAAACTGAAGGAACAAAACAGCAGCAGACTCACAGACCCCAAGAAGGAACTAGTGTTACCAAAGGGGATGGGTGAGGGCAGGCGGATGGGGAGGGAGGGAGAAGGAGATTGAGGGGTATTATGATTAGTACACATGGTCTGGGGGGGGGATCATGGGAAAGACAGTGTAGCAAAGAGAAGACAAGTAGTGACTCTGTGGCATCTTACTACACTGATGGACAGTGACTGCAGTGGGGTCTGGGGAGAACTCGATAATATGGATAAATGTAGTAACCACATTGCTTTTCATGTGAAACCTTCATAAAAATGTGTATCTGTGATACCTTAATGAAAAAGAAGTGAAAAAACAAGATCTGTGCTTGGCACGTGTTAGTAATTATTTTTTGAAGAAATAAATTGTGCACTAACTTATCTTCAGATTAATCTGTAAGTATTCAGAAAAAATAAAAAAGACTTTGACCTCTAAAGAATCTCTGAATGATAACAGTAGTGGAAAAGCAAAGAAATGAAACCTCTAATGAAAGAAATTGGAAGGTTAAGCTGGATCGCTTTTGGAGAACTTTCTAGACAAGCCACATGACTAAGAAGAGGTAAAGACCAAGTGCTCTACCAAGAATGGTCAGACAGTAAAATGTGTCCTTACAACAGGAAGAAAGCATTTAACACTGATTAGCACATTGTGGTACAGTGGCCCCTTCAGGTAAGAAGAGCTTTGGTATAAACAAGTTTAGTGACACTTAGTGTATTTAGGTGGACTTTTTTTGAACCTTATTCTGACATTTATCACACATAGATAATAGAGATTAATATAAAATATGAACTCTTAGTTATTAAATATTTATTACAATATTTAGATTGAAAAGATTGAACTGAATAGAATTTACACAATACATGAACATTTCTCAAATTACATTAACTGCTAGGACTGCATACCCATCAACAAGCATCATTCTTGATCTAGTGCCAGCTACCTACCTTGTACTCTGAAACCCAGTTAGGAACATCAAATTGATACCTATGCTAGAATATTTATGTTTAAGTAGAGCTAAAACTCTCATGGAAGAAATTCAAACATCAGCAGATCAATGGGGGATTTTTTTAGCAGAGGCCAACTTATATGTTGCTAAAATCACCCCTTATGGATACCACCTACTGAAATATACAAAGGAAGTTCGTAGCATCATTCAGTGATCATGAGTCCTGGTTTGACATTAAGGTCCATCTCTGAAGAGCCTTTTATGATTAGGAAAGTCTGAGTCACCCTCAGACTTCCTCCATCGCCTTTCTGAGTCATTTCCTTTTTCACTGACCAAACCAGGTACAACTATGTACAAGAAATATCCAGAAGTACAGTTTGGAACTAAGGGACATTAGAAATCACTGAGTTCAGTGTACTCATTTTATAAATGGCAAAAGTGTGGCCAAGCAATTGTCCCTTCTGCGCAGTTGTACAGCCTCTGTCAGACAGCTTTTCCTATACCCAAGACCCTCCTCTGTACAAGCTGATTTTACAGCAAATCTCAGGCTCTGAGTTAGATTATTTTTGTTAGAAGTAAGCTGAGTACTTGGGTTGGAAGTTTGAAAAGAACTCAGGGCCCAGGGGAACAGTTGGCATCCACTGTATTCCCTTCAAGTAATCTGACCTAGTACCAGTGCTCCTGTAATGGACCAAGGAGAGGACTCAGGTAGGACCAGCATATTCTAACTCAGGGTGTCTCAACCTTGGGACTAAGATTTTTGACCAGATACTTCTTTGTTGTGGAGGCTTTTAGTTTTAGGTATTCACAACCTAAATTCTCTATCCATCTAGTTCTCTATCCACTAGATGCTCAGACAGGACAATCAAAGTCCAGACATTGCCAAATGTCACCTGTAGTTGGTTGGGAACCACTGTACTGACTTAAGGAAGGGGCTCTTGCAATGTAGGTCTGGGCCCATTTAATTCTCTCAAGAGTGACTATTCTTACTCCTAGAGCCCTGTGCCAGGCTTTTCTCCCTCACGTATCCCTGTAGGGCTACCATGCCTTCATCAGATGGGCTCCTCCAACCTCTACCCACAGTGGCCCTGAAAGTGGCACATAGGGTGAAAATGGCAAGCAAAAATTTCTACCAATCCCCTCTTGCAGGGGAGATCCCCGACTGGATAGGAATTTACATAATTTGGTTTTTTTAAGACAAAATGTACACAGCGCTCAGCTCTTAACTGATTGCTGTGAAGAAGGAAAGATCAGGGCCTTAAGACCCTTTCCGATCTTGAGGGTGAGCTGGGAGGGATAGATCAGTTCATACCAAAGGAATCCACCTTTTCTGCACAAATTCTCCTTGACTCAGCAGTCCCACTTCCCCTCCCCAGCTCATCCTCACCAGTGACCATATTTAGACACTGCAAGCCTATGTTGTCAGGAACCAGAAAGACTGAAACCAGATGGTTGTTATGGAGATTTGGTTAAACACACACACACTCTAGAGCATGGCCTCGACTGAGTGGTAGGGGTGAGTGGCAGTTCTTGCTGGGACATGTATTTTTCTTAATTTGCTATTACCCTACCTCTTCTGCTCTTGCCACATTTCCATGCATATCATTCCTGCTGGCAGAAGCCACTTCACACTGACCAGTACTATTCTTAAACATCTCTACATCAGGATATCACAGTTTAAGGACAGAATTACTTAACCTTTTTGAGCCTCAGTCCCTTCATCTGTAATATGAGGATAATTATAATACAAACTTTATATGGCTTCCATTAAAAGTAAATATATGTACTACCATTTGCAACATGGATGGAGCTGGAGGATATTATGCTCAGTGAAATAAGCCAGGCAGAGAAAGACAAGTAGCAAATTTTTCCCTCATTTGTGGAGTATAACAATGAAGCAAAACTGAAGGAACAAAATAGCAGCAGACTCACAGACCCCAAGAAGGGACTAATGGTTACCAAAGGGGAGGGGTGAGGGAGGGCTGGTGGGGAGAGATCATGGAGAAGACAGTGTAGCACAGAGAAGGCAAATAGTGCCTCTGTGGCATCTTACCATACTGTTGGGCAGTGACTGCAATGGGGCATGGGGGGGACACGATAGCATGGGTGAATGTAGTAACTACATTGTTTTATCATGTGAAACCTCCTTAAGAGTGTATATCAATAATACCTTAATAAAAAAAGAAAGTCAATATATGTAAAGAAAGTTGCATCATGACTGGCAAAGTAGATGGGGTTTGTTTTTACACCAAAATAAAATCCTTATCTGGGGTACCTGGGAACCAACCACTGGTGCCTTTGGAAATCTTGGCATGTGTGCCCTAATAACAGAAAAGCTACTGGAGGAGTGTGTCCCATGTCCTGTGTATTAGGCTGGAGGAAGGAAAAACAAGGACATGCAAACAGAACAGAGAGATGCCATAGGGGAAGAACAGACCAGACCCCAAGGTCCGTGCCTTATATGGAAAGAGGACAGCTCTTCCTGAATTCCATCCTTCTGATGTGCCAACTAAGACCAGGATGTCACCTTCCTCGCTCTTGGAAGGAAAAAAGGTTTCTAGTTGTCTATTATGTCACCTTTAGCCAATCATACCTCTCCATGCCCCCTAGGATAGCTTGCCCACTCCTCCCCCTCCTAATCCCTTATAAGCCCCCACCTCCCTGACTGGGTGTGACTGACTTCCCTGGCCTGTAATACCCAGACCGCAGAACATTGCACTCAAATAAACTACCTGGCCCTTTGTTGCCTCTCTTCACCTGCTTATTTCGGCTAAAATTTATCTTACACTGTGGAGTGATGGTGGAGCCAGATTGTTGGGGGAGGGAGGGTTGTATTGTTTTTTGACTTTGTTGTACTCAGCTGGAAAGCTGTTTTGGGGGGGAAGCTGGGCATACGATCTCTTCTTTTCTGCAATTTGTAATGGAAGTCACAGAGACGAGAAGACACAAGACATAAAATCATCCTTGCCTGACTACAATGGAAGAGTATAAAGGAGGCAGACTGTCCCCTCTGCCTTTGGCTCTGGCTCCCCTTCCCCAGCAGACCCCTATTCAAGAGGAGGCTGCTTATCTCAGTGTAACAGGCTGGGGCTTATTCCTGCCGTAGGCTCTGTGCATGATGTCTGCTGAACTTTCTGAAAAAAAAAAAAACTAGTATTTTCTAATAACAGATAGAGGGCAGATAATTCCACCTCTAGATATAGGTAAGATTTCTTTTGTTCAGCTTGAATTTACTGTAGAGCTATGTTCTCCAGGTCTCAGCTCCTCCTAACACACTGAGGAAATAGAAGAAAACATTATGCACCTTGCATTTTCAACTCTGTTCTATCTCACAGAATAAATATTACTATCCTATTTTTACAGGTGAAAAAAAAAGATCCAGTTTGAAAAAGGACTGTGAAAATAAATACTAATCTGAGAATTTTTATTACATCTGAAGGGGAGTTAGGGGAGTGGGACTGGACATGATAAAGGAAATTTAATCTCGTGATGTTTTGCTCTTTTACAAGAATATGTATTAATTGTGTAACTGATAATTGAATTTTGAATTAAAAGTTAAGACTATTCTGTATTTTAAAAAATTTTACTGAAGTTCAGTAAAGGTAATTTATCTAAGGTTGCTTGGTAATTGACAGACTCCAAAGACCATAGCCACTCCACCAAACCCTGTGCCCTGTGTACACTCTCCTGGAGAGCTGGGTCTGGAGCCGAGAGGAAGTCCTGAGCTGTCCCTCTCAGAGGCAGTGGGATCATTGTAGTGGGCCCTACGTCTTGGCTTGGCTTGTTTTAATCACTAAAGGGGAGACCAGACCATGCTAGACCAACTTGATGACTACCCTAAGACTGACCTGTGACACATGGCTGAATCACAGACTCCAGGTAAGGAATGCAAAGGATGTAACTGATAAAGGAGACTGTTTTAAGATTTTTATTTTTTTAAATTGAAGCATAGTTGACATCCAATATTATATTAGTTTCAGGTGTACATTTAACAAGATTTTAAATTGGATGTTTCAGATATAAGTAGTACGAAATTGCAAAGGGAGACACCAGATAGTCATGCAAAGTTAAAGGAAATTACCAAGGACCAGTTCCATGATTCTTGAACCCACACACACACCCTATTTCAAGAGTGAAGACAGGTTTATAAGAGATTTCTTTGGAGAGACCTACTACCATGTGAACTGCATCCAATCCCAAAAAGAGGTGGAGGTACTTCTCTCTTCTCAAGCCCAGAAAGGGGGGGCCTCACGGGACCTTTGAAGCATTTGGTATTTGTTCCTGGGTAGGAGATAATAGACTGTGTATGACTCATGCTGGAAGAATTTCAAGGCAAAGGTTGGCTGACAGCAGGGCCTGAAGTAACAAAGTAGACAGCTCTGTCTTGTAAGTAACTGCACTGCCTTCTGACAAAAGGTCAAACATACATGAATCCTGGGGACAAGTATGGAGCTAGTTTAAATCCTACTCAAAGAACTTCCTGGAACCATAGTGGGACTCCTCGCAAGGGTTCTGTGTAGAATGGACCACTGGTAAAAAAAAGGATGAGAGGTGGAGTGAAGGCCATAGAAATACAAAGCATCATCTCACTTCAGATTGCTGACATTATCATTGGAAAGGCCTAGCAAGGAAGCCTCTGAAGGAGCCATACAAATGCATCCATTTGTGAGACAGCTTTCAACATCAGTCAGGTCTAGAGAACAGGAAGCCACCAAGAACATTCCTCTCCTGCTGCATTTCCAGGAGGTGTCAGTGTCAGCATCTAGGAGGTAGAAAAATGGAGGGAGAAGAAAAGTCAGCTACCACTCTTCCACAAAGGCAAGCTGGTAGGCTATATTGTGGGATACAGGTATTCTCACCTATGACGAAGGTTATTGAGTTTGTTACTATGTTTCTGAATAAAGAATGTGTTTTGCTACTTAAGTAATTGCAAGACCACTACTTAAAGGTGATGAAATGTTGGGGAGGTGTGGTGGAATTTTCATCCAGGTCAGAGGAAAAACCTCTCATTGAAATAAATTTTAGAGAGGCAGGGGGAGACAAAATTCAACTTCAATTTTTATTACATTCCTTGGGTTGGTACTTGTTAAGGTTTCCAGTTACAATCATCTTTGTGTTCTCTGAGGCATTTAATTGGCACTCACGGAGACTTTTTGTTCCAGTTTGTAGTGCACCAAAATGTCTTTTAAAGGCTAACATCCTTTCCATAATAAAATAAAGGAGTTTTAGGGACTTGGGGTTTGGCAAATCTGGCTGAGGTCAAGGGATTTTAAAATAGAAGTTGTTGGAACATTGAAGATCATCTAGTTCCAACTAATTCCTCCTAAATTAATCTTTTCCATAGCATCCCAGGCAAGTGATAATTTAGCCTTTTCTTGAATAAATCCAGTGTATTGGAATTTACTATCTTCACCCTTATTAAAACTCTTCAAGTATTGGAGGACCACTTCTCTCTACATCTCATTTCATTAGTCTAAAAATTTCCCCTTCCTTCAGTTATTGTTCCTTGATGTGGTTTGGACTCCTGGCATCACCCTGGCTGCCTTTTGGATGAGCTCTAAATCTGTCAGTGTGCCTTTCTAAGTTTGGTCCAGATGTGCGCTTCTGTCATCTGGGTAAGCTTCTCTAAGGATCTGGTTCTTCCATTTCAGAACCTACAGATTTTCTAATATCTAATGATTTGTCATTCATTCTTCAATCACTTTTTTGGGCCAACTGCAGTTCCAGTCTACCAGACCCTCTGTGGCTTCACCTCTTTCCCTGTCCATCTTAGTCTCTGTGAACAATGATCTCAAGACACTACCACCTCGGTTATCTTTGTCTTTTGTTCTTTGGTCCAAGCTAACTTGCCACTCAATTCTACAGCAACAACAATCTTTATTTGTTTTTTCAAGTAATATTTATCAAGTGCCTGTTGGTGTGCCAAGTTGTTCTATATATTGAGGATAGAAGTGTGTTTTCTCCACTTCTGGTTGTTGGCTGCCACTTTATGGGAGACCATTAGTTAATTACCAGTCAGAACTGGCACCAGTGTGCGGTTCCTAGCCTTATCTTGGCAGTCCTCAGGAGGAGCCAGATGCCTTATGAAGGTCCCACAGTTGTTCTCCTCAAGCACCTGTCTAGTTCCAGCCTCTGCCTTTTGTAGACCACCTTGCAGTCACCCTCAAAAAGAAAACAGATAGTGCCAAATTCCCAAGCTTTCCTCCTCTTGATCTCTAAACTGATTGTGAAGGCACCCCATCTGTATCTCTTCCCTGGCTATAAAAGAGAATCTCCTTACAGTCTTAAATTGAGCTTTTGCCCTTCGATCTATCTCTTCTGGAACACTGTGCTCTGTCAGTTGTCCATTTTCTCTGCTCTAGAGTTTTACACTGCAAGATCATTCTCCTTAACCTACAAATATTTTTGAATCCCTCACTCAAAAAAAAAAAATTCTTTCTTCAACCCAACTACCCTCTGCTTTTTCATCATTCTCAAATTTCTTGAAAAAGAAAATTTCAACTCCCATTTACTTTTTTACCGAGCTCAATTCAGCTTTTGCCTTCATTAGCTTATGAAATCTGTTCTTAAAATGACCTTGAGAGTCTTAAAAATTATTGAGAGCTGTTTATGAGGGTTATTGCTACTGATATTTACCATATTAGAAATTAAAACTGAGAAACTTAAAAAAATTCATTTAAAAACAATAAGCCAATTGCAGGTTAATATAAATTACATTTTCAGAAAAACAGAAGTGTTTTACATTTTTGCAAATCTCTTAATATCTAAATTAAAAACAGCTTGATTTTCATATCTGTGCATTTAATCTATATTGATATGTTTTGACTTAAGTATTTGGAGAAAAGATCTATCCTCATACAGGTAAATAAATAGAAAAAGGAGAGGTATTTTAATACTCTTTTCAGATAATATGGATATTCTTCTTTGATAGTACACCAAAGCACAAGTGGTAGTTTCTTCAAGATTAACTGTAATGTGGTATTTGAAGCCAAATCAATGAACTTGCTGTGTTCTATTACATTAAAATCCACTGGTCTATCTTGCAATTTGAATAGATCTTTCACACAGGTACGATTTTGAAGCATCATGCATGTGTCATTTGGAAAATATTGGTTCACTCAGTTAACAGAAATGATCCAAATGTTGACATATTTCATTATCCAATATTGTTAAAAAATCACATTCGTTAAAATCACAACCAATCTCATCAGCAAAATGTTTAAGTCCTGGGAAGCTGTTGGACTCACTGAAGTAGATACAAAATTTCCAAAACTGTAATTTTTGCTTGAAATCTCAAATTTTATGATTGGTAACAAATCTGTCAGTTGTTATCCTTGAAGTGACAGGCTCATTTTGTTCATTTTTGAGAAAATGCCAAATACTCAAGTGTAAATAACCAGTTTGTCGTTCTTTCAAAATAAAATGGTGATTCATTTTTTTGAAAAGCAGCTAATTCAGCTTATAATTCAAATAACTGTGTAAGTGCTTTTCCTGGAGACAACCATCATACTTTTATAAAAAGCAGAAATGCCTTATGTGTACTTCTCATTTTATAAAACAATGTTAAAAGCCATGTACTCTTCTGTACAGCAAAGGACACCATCAGCAGAACAAAACGGCATCCTACAGTATGGGAGAATATATTTGTAAATGACATATCCAACAAGGGGTTAACATCCAAAATCTATAAAGAACTCACATGCCTCAACAACCAAAAAGCAAATAACCCTATTAAAAAATGGGCAGAGGATATGAACAGACACTTCTCCCAGGAAGAGATTAGATGGCCAACAGACACATGAAAAGATGGATGCTCCACATCGCTAATTATCAGGGAAATGCAAATTAAAACCATATTGAGATATCACCTCACATCAGTTAGGGTGGCCAGGATAGAAATGACTAGGAACAACAAATGCTGGCGAGGATGCAGAGAAAGGGGAACCCTCCTACACTGCTGGTGGGAATGTAAACTAGTTCAACCATTGGGGAAAGCAGTATGGAGATTCTCAAAAAACTCAAAATAGAAATACCATTTGACCTAGGAATTCCACTCCTAGAAATTCACCCTAAGAATGCAGGATCCCAGTTTCAAAAAGACAAACGCACCCCTATGTTTACTGCAGCACTATTTCCAATAACCAAGAAATGGAAGCAACCTAAGTGTCCATCAGTAGATGAATGGATAAAGAAGATGTACATATACACAATGCAATATTATTCATCCATAAGAAGAAAGCAAATCCTACCATTTGCAACAACATGGATGGAGCTAGAGGGTATTATGCTCAGTGAAATAAGCCAGGTGGAGAAAGACAAGTACCAAATGATTTCACTCATCTGTGGAACATAAGAACAAAACAAAAACTGAAGGAACAAAACAGCAGAAGACTCACAGAACCCAAGAATGGATTAACAGTTGCCAAAGGGAAAGAGTGGGAAGGGAGGAACAAGGGGAATAAGGGGCATTATGATTAGCACACATAATGTAGGGGTGGGCACGGGCAAGGCAGTATAGCACAGAGAAGACAAGTAGTGACTCTATAGCATCTTACTACACTGATGGACAGTGACTGTAATGGGGTATGTGGTGGGGACTTGATAATGGGGGGAATCTAGTAACCACAATGTTGCCCATGTGATTGTATATTAATGATACCAAAAGAAAAAAAAAGCAAATAGAAAATTATACTATAACAAGTATAATTAACATGAATTATTTAGGGGAAAAAATCCAGTTTATCTAAATACAAGACTGCATGTCAATTTTTCTCTATATAATTGTCAAAGTACTCCCATTTCAAGGAAGAAATAGATTCAGGTTAAACAAAAATCCATGTACTCAAGGATTGAGGTTTAATAAAACTATTCTTACTCTTTCATCGAGGTTATTCTTAAGTGAAACTGGCTCTTTTTTACTGTGAGGATATACTAGTACAGTTTAGTATTCTTGCCTTGATTTATGCTAAGGTGTCCATAGTTTTACCCCCATTGCTTTTGCATGATCAATGCAAATGTAAACAGTGAAAAAGGCAGAGAATATTTTAGTATCATGAAAATACTTTTGACCTCACAGCCCCCTCAAAGGTTTCATGAACTCTCGTCTGTGACCCACACTTTGAGAACTGCTGTCTTAGATCCTTAAAACTTCATAAGGTAGGAATACTCTCACTTTACAGGTGGGCAAACATACTTAGACTAAATGACTAAATAACTTGCCCAAGATCACTTACCTGGTAAATGGTAGGGTTTGTTGATTTGATTTGAAAGCCTGTGTCTTCATGCAGCCCCTCTCTGCAGTGTATTCCACCATGGTAGTTCCTTGAATACACCACATTGTTTTGGCTCTGTGTTTTTGTATATGCTCTTCTCTCTGCTTAGAATGTTTTGCCCCATGTACTCCTGGTGAACACTCAAACACAGGTTAATATCCACCTCAAAATCACTTTCTCCTGAGGCAGTTAATCGTTCTGTCATCTGTGTGCTTCTGTATTTTGCTCAAAAGTCTAATTTTGGCATGAAACATGTTTTCATTTCATGCCATCATATTTGTCAGTTTTTCCTCTAGTTATTTTTAATATCTTGTTTAATAACTCTTTCCTACCTTGATTTCATAAAGCATTCTCCTGTATATCATTTTTTAAGTTTTTAATTCAACTGGAATTTATTTTTATATGTTATGAAGTAGAGATTCTGTTTTTTTTCCTATATAAATATCTGGTTATCCTAGCTCCATGTATTGAGCGACCCACCTTCTCCCTA